AATTTGTCGGTCACCGACGTGACGTCTCCATTCCCTCCTTCAGGGAATGAGGGTTACATACATAACCGAGACGTTCTTCTGAACTTTCTATTTATCAAAGAAATCTGAAAAAATTATACTCAGCTGTTTTCAACATAATAATAATAATAATAATAATAATAATATATAATAAATAAATAAATAATAAATTAATAAATAACATTTGAAAATATATTCAAATAGAAAACAGTTATTTTAAATACTACAAATATTTAAAAAAAAAAACTAAATATATTCAAATAGAAAGCAGTTATCTTAAATAATAAAAAATATTACTACTTTTGCTGTCTTTTGGATCAACTAAATGCAGGGTTGAGAGAATTCAGAGAATTCTTTAAAAAACATTACAAATCTTACTGTTCAAAAACTTTTGACTGGTAGTGTAAATTTAATTTTTTACAAAATAAATGTAATGTTTTATATTATATCAGTTAATGTGTATTTAGTTCAAGTAATAATGGTTTGTTGGTTGGTTGTCTGGTTTTAGTTAAAGTTAATAACTGATGCAAACTGGGACTTTCAAGTTTTTAAAAAGGATGTTAAAACACTATAAAATATTATGAACGTAGTCTGTAGGACTCATGCATTATATTTCAAATCTTCTGAAGTCATATGATAACTATAGATGAGAAACATAGATAGATCAGAAAATTTAAATTGTTACTAACTGAGAGAAGAATAAATATCAAATTTGTGGATGAAGTCTTTCTTTCTTTCTTTCTTTCTTTCTTTCTTTCTTTCTTTCTTTCCTTCCTTCCTTTCTTTCTTTCTTTCTTTCTTTCTTTCTTCCTTTTTTTAATTAATTGTTTGATCCCGTTTCAGAAATCTGGTCTGAATGATTTATTCACAAATTCACTTCTCTCATAAACTTTCATAAACTCACCAAGAAAAGCTAGGGCAGATGTCAAAGATGTTTTAGTTCAGTCTATTTCTCACACAAAGCTATCTCATTATCTCAAAAGATTTAAAATATACAGCATGGGTCATACGAACAACTTTCATGATACTTGTTTTTTTCTGAACTTGACAGCTCCAGTTCCCATTCAACCCAATTGCATAGAAAAACATCAGTGCATCCTCCAAAACGGTCTGCTTTTGTGTTCCACGCAACAAAGAAGATTTAAAATATACAGCATGGGTCATACGAACAACTTTCATGATACTTGTTTTTTTCTGAACTTGACAGCTCCAGTTCCCATTCAACCCAATTGCATAGAAAAACCATGTGAAAAACCATGCACTCCAAACCATGTTTGGAGTGCATCCTCCAAAACGGTCTGCTTTTGTGTTCCACGCAACAAAGAATATCAAACAGGTCTGGAACGACATGAGATGAAAACAATGTCAAAATCGTTATTATTGTTTGAACTGTTCCTCTAGTTGTCCAATGCGAGTCTCCCTCTCATTCCGTGTCTCTGTCCACCCTATTTTCACTTTCTTTCTATGTGAGTGTTTATGCACTGCATACAAACTAAGTTTGGATGAAAATAAACCCTGGACCACCTGGAAGAGAAAGGAGCTCAGAGAGGTTCAAAGGCTTGCTAATAATAGTGACATGAGCAGTGGCGAGGAAACGCGTTGGAGGGAGGATGACAGATCTCTTTGATAGAGTGCAGGCCAGGCTGCAGTGCGCAGGAAATTGCTGCAGAACACTGCAAGTTTTCTCTGGTTTCTGGGAGTGGGATCCTGTGCAGACACACGTACAGGTCCTGCTCACTCCCGGTTTGCTCAGGTTGTTTTAATCATCTGCCTTTGCATACTAATTTCAATAGAGCCGTTAGTGTCCACTTTTTCGTTGGCCTTGATTCTGGATTTTTTTTGTTTTTCTGACAACAATACAAACTTTGAATGGACATAAAAGTGTTTGAAAATCAGGAAAAGATATGGACTTAAATTATTATCAATAATAAGACTTTTAAATGTAATATGTATTTAAAGTTTATTACAAAATATTATTATATATACACTAACAATCATAACTTTGGGTCAATATGATTTCTGTAGGAAATTAATATTTTATTCTGCAAGGATGCATTAAATTGATCAAAAAATGACAGTAAGTAAACTTAAAATGTTACAAAGGATTTCTATTTCAAATAAATGTTGTTCTTTTGAACTTTCTATTCATTAGAGAATCCTGAAAAAAATATCACAAAAAATATTAAGCAGCACAACTGTTTTCAATACTGATTAAAAAAAAAGTTTCTTGAGCAGCAAATCAGCATATTAAAATGATTTCTGAAGGATTATGTGACACTGATGATTGGAGTAATGATGCTGACAATTCAGCTTTCCTTCGCAGGCATAAATTACATTTGAAAATATACTAAAATAGAAAACAGTTATTTTAATGTAGTTATTTTAATAATATTTCACAATTGTACTGTTTATACTGTATTATTGATCAAATAAATGCAGCCTTCTCTGATTGGTGGATCTTTCTTCAGGATTATGGGTAATGTAGTTCTCCACTATAAACTCCACTATTCAAAATTATTATTATTATTATTTGAAAACACATCAACTTGTGGCTTCTATATCAGGCCAGAGCTTACTGTCATTGTGTCTTAAAAGGTTTGCACATTCTGGCTAGAAATGAATTACTCAATTGAGAAAATAAGTGTGATTTTTACTCCCATAACCCAAATGTCGCACACTACAATCACTGCATATTTATTATTCATTGTACTGCCCAAATCTAATTCACTGGACATTTAGAAACTCTACATCGAACCCCTTTGTGCAGTGCAGCCTCTCAATAAATTCACTACTGAACAAAAATGAATTTGCTCCAAATTTTCAGATATTTTTACGAGTGCGAGGTCCATCCAATGCATCAAAGTCTGGCGGGTTCATTTTGTTCTCCAAACAGCAGATTGTCTGGCAAGCGCTGCTGGTGGTAAACTGTTGAAAAATGACACAAGGCTGACAAATTCATATGTCAGGTGTATTAGAGCCAAGGCAGGACGGCTGCAGCCAAAGGTTAAGCTGACCCATTTAATGAGCTCATTAGCGCATTTATAAGCACTCTTCAGATGGGCCGTCCCACAGCCTGTTGTTTGCTTGTTTGTTTTCGCAGTGCGAGCGACGGGCAAAGAGGAAGTCATCTGAAGGACAGAGCATGCCCAGTCTGTTTAACTGGCACGGCTGGGCTGGCAGGCAGCGCGCCAGTCTCCCCAGTGCCGTTTTGGGTCTGAGTGCGAGCGAATCGGCTCTCTTTTCTGAAGACAAGCCTGGTCTGTTCTGCGTGAGAGAATGAGGCCATTGTGGATATAAGCTCAAGTGAAATCCTGACACTACAAAGTGTTTGAAACACAGGTAGTGTCGGTGTCTATTTAAAGAGGCCTCGGCTGCGAATATGAATGGGATGAATTTGGGCGACGTTGTGAGCACAAAGGCACTGTTAAAAAAATCTAATCTCTCCGCAGCAAAGAGAGAAATAGGTGAGTCAGCGGAGAGCAATTTGTGTCTATTTGTATAAATGAGAATGAAATGTTCGGAGAGCTTGGGAGAATGTCAGGCATGCTGTGATAAGCAGGTACTGTGAAAGGAAGCAGGAGAAGCTAAGACGCAGATGGGTTTTTTAATGATTTTAAGATGAGCCCTCTGTGCTTTTCCTCTGATCATACATAATGGAGTCTCATTAAATGCGCTCAGTGTGTCACACTCACTCGCAGGAAGCCGTCCAAAGAGCCATTCTCCATGTACTCGGTCACTATCATCACGGGTTTACCTGAGGAGAGAGAAAATTCAGACGTGTCTCAGTCTAATCCAGAAAAGATGTGCCAAAACTGAGCTGTGCTTTGCTGCAGTGGTGTCATTTCTGCTGGAAGGTTGAATTACCCAATTTGCAAACTAATGAGCTTATGTTGGACAAAAGAAAACATCTTCAAAGACAGACATTTCAAGAGAAAAATATAATACATTCAAAGGCAAGGATAAGTTTGACCCATTAGTTTAGATATATATGTTCAACATGACGACTTCCAAAGTTATTTCAATGACGACGCTGAATCCGTCAAGAAGAGTTTTATGAGTGAACAGGTCATGAAACCTGTCAAGAACAGTTTTTGAATTATTTTCATGGTAATTAAGCATGCTTAAAAGTCTGGGGTCAGTAAGTTTTTTTTTATGTTTTTGAAAGACCTCTTATGCTCACAAAGAGTGCATTTATTTAATAAATATACAGTAAGATATTGTGAAATATTATGACAATTTAAAATAACTGTACTATTTTATTATATTTTACAATGTAATTTATTCTGATTCTTCAGTGTCACAGCGTCCTTCAGAAACGTTTATTTTAAATAGAAATCTTTTTTTAACATTATAAATGTATTATAAGTGTCTAAAACTGTCCCTATTTGATCAATTTCATGACCATTTTGCTGAATAAATAAATAAATGTGTGTGTATATAATAATAATAATTATATACTGTATATATATATATATATAAGAAAGAAAAGAAAGGAAATATGCTTAATTGCCATGAAAATGTCATGAGGCGTCATTATTTCAAGCAGAATATAATTTAAAACACAATTTGTTTCTGGGCTGAAATGTGATCTGAGTTCCTGACAGGTTTGGTGAGATTCACTCTCATAGTGTGGGTGTTATAAAAGGCTCTGGGTTAAGCAGCTGAATTTTTTTTTTTGAGTTTGAGAGGGTGAAGAGATCAGGTTGATGGGTTTTCAACACATCACAGACATTATCTGAAGCCCATAACAAGAGCAGAGGTGCAGCTCTTCACATGACACCTCTGACACAGCGGCTCAGAAATCATAACCATGACTTACTGTGACTTCACCTAAATGAGAGTTTCCTGCAGGATGAAAAGAGTCTCGGCCTGAACTTGGACGGACCATAAGGTCAACTGTCACTGTCTGACAGCTTTATTTTCTCCGTCCTGCCGCTCGTAAATCACCGGTTTTATCATCTGCACTTTTTCTGTGCCTCATTTCAAAACCTGCACGTAAAATGACTTTATATCAATAATAGCCTGATGACCAGTCCGTGTTGTCACGATATGTATGTGCAGTAGTCATAATTTAGTCTTTTTTTCCTCCCAGCGTCCCAAGAGCTGACAGCAGAGCACTGTGATGAATGAGGTTTATGAAACGTGTGCAATTAAAATAAGTGGAGAAGAGCAACACTGCACAACTTATGAATATGCTGTAACAACAGTCTTGCTCACAGCAAGCAGTTTTTATTAACACTGCAAAACATATTTTTTGATCAGTATTTGCATCTTAAAAGGAGATTAATTTACTTGGGAAGCAAAACTGCATAAAATAATGAGACTAAACTATACAAATATTAAGTGTTCAGAGATCATATCCAGAACTAAGTTAATTTTTCTTACCCCGATATAAAATATAAATAAATAAAAAAAGAAAGAAATAGAGAAAGAAAGAAACTATATAGTGAATAAATAAATATATCTAGTTTTAATGATTTCTAATTATTTTATAAATAAATGTATCTAGTTTTAAAGTGCCCCTATTATGGATTTTTGAAAATTACCTTTAATGCAGTGTGTAACACAGCTCTAAGTGAATGAAAACATCCTGCCAATTATTAAATCTGAAAGTGCACCGTGTATAAAGTTATTGTCTCTCAAAAGAAAGAGTCGACTCTGAATCATTGAAACGACTCGTTTTTAAAACGAATCCCAAGCCGTTTCATCTTGAAACATGAAACAGCATATTGCCCACCCACTTGTTGGTCTTTTCGCATTGGTCTGAATGAAAATGCAAATTCATTCTTTGCCACTAGCTGCCGCTTTTGGAGCGGTAAAAATAGCGGTTTCCCTGGTAACGCTGTACACAAAGCAGCACTGTGCTCACAAACGCTGCTTTATCAGGCATTACAGGCAAGATGAAATGAAAATGAGACCAATCGGACCAATCACCGCAGATTTTTTACTGGGAAGCAAGCCAAAAATGCTGTTTTTTTTATTTTATTTATTAAATGTTTTTGTAGTTGAGTACCTACAATGTTTTACTCCGC